TACACTTTAATAAAAGATTCAAATGAATTGAGCAGTGTTATGTCAAAGCTGTTTTCCAGAACATTGTATATGTCAGGTTATTATAAAGTTGCTAATTGCTTTAATGTCAAATGGTTAGTTAGTTTTATTGCCTTTAGATGAGGTGTTTGTCATATGGTCGCTATCGTTCCTCCAGTCTGTCGCCCCTCATCCAACCGGCCAGCAGCTGCTTGGCTAGCTAGTTTAATCAATTTCAGTTGCCTAAAGCTGTGTATCGATATACAAGGTTTCTTTGCTGGAATAGACTGCTACAGCTATCTACTTAAAACTTAAATATGAGTAAGTGATCAGGCCTCACTAACTTTGTTATGCTGTTATTCAAATATAATGGTTTTTTTGTATGTGAATTTTAATTTTAAAAATAACATTTATAAAAGTTTAAATTGCATTTTTTTTTTGTGTAAAATTGGTTCAGGTCTTTGTGCACAATGCGGCCTGAAGGTTGTCGGAGAGGACTCGGGGTGCACAGCTATGGACCGTGTGTTCCATGTTGCATGCTTCACGTGTGAAACCTGTCACACCAAGTTACGTGGACAACCATTTTATGCTATGGAGTCTAAAGCTTTCTGTGAGAACTGTTATATAGTAAGTTCTGTGTACACTATCTGTTTGATTACTAACTGCAAGTGTAGACTTTACATTATGGCAATTTCTCAATATGGTATAAGCTACTGAAGCCCTTTATAGTTAAGCCTAAGAAATTGCAACTAAGGCAGTCACCTAAACTGCTGGTAAGTGCTTGTGTGCACTGAATCTGCCAACATCAAACAGCAGATGGTGTCACGTTGTTAAGCTCTCACAGAGGGAGCTGAGATGGATTTGTCACACAGTGGTCGTACGGGGTAATGTGTGCCATCCTCGACAGAAATCTAGTAGTGTATGCCCAAATAATATAATTATTTAAAAAAAAAAAACATTCCTTAGATTTTTTTACAAAATAGTCAAGTTTCTTAATAATTTACAAAGTTTCTCTGATAATGGTGGTATTCATATAAATTTTTTTTTTTTTTCATTTTAGTCGTCTCTTGAGAAGTGTTCCACTTGCTCCAAGCCAATCACTGAGCGGGTAAGTTCAATCATTTCCCTCATTTGTGTCAGACTCTTAGGCTATGTTCTCTCGCGAAAGCTGCCGTGCATCCATGCGAGAAAATCCCGATCTGGATACTAAGAATATGATGATCAAATCACTGGCCAATAAGAAACTGGAAATTGTAAACGTGTACGTGTGATTGGTTGATAATAGAAATGCGCTCAACTTGCTAACAGATGGCGCTTGCTAACTGTTAGCGCTAACGGTTAGCTCCCAATCCGGATACTCAGGCTCTCGTGAGACCAGGCATTACTACATGACATTACTTTAAACCATGGATATTAAAATTGACTTAGCAGCATTACATCACCCTTAATGAAATTTGTTAAAAAATAAAGCTAAACCATGATAATATGAATGAAAATCACCAGCAAACATAATGAGAGAGTATATTGTACTACTTGTAGGACCAGACAAATAGTTGTTTACTCGATGGGTGAAATACAATCTAAAACATTTTAGAACAGCTTCACTCTGACCCTAAATAAGTGCCTAGTTTCTCAGGGAGCCGGAGGAATTCATCCCTAAACCACAGTAGAGGTTCATCCCCTGACCAGGGGTCATGCTGGCCACTGTAAATTCCCATCCCATGTCTGAGAGGTTTCCCCTCCTGAAAGTGTATCATGGTGCTATTGCAGTTCATAGTCTAATCTGATTTTAATATAAGATGGATACCATTTTTTAATAGATCTTGCGTGCAACAGGAAAACCTTACCACCCTGCTTGTTTCACCTGTGTTGTGTGTGGCGAGAGCCTTGATGGTGTTCCATTTACTGTCGATGCAACCAATCAAATCCACTGTATCAAAGATTTCCATAAGTAAGTGTCATGAATTTTCATTGGCTTACAAACTAGTAGGATATATTACATATCATGTTTCTCATTGTGACTTACTCTAATTAATGTAAATAATTACTGAACATAGCTCAGTGAGTGTTGTAAGAATATTAGTGATTGTTGTTGTCAGAATGTGGTTCTTACACAGAGCATGTGTTTGGTAACCTGCTTAGTAGCATTGATGAAAGGTACAGATAATGAAATCTGTTAAAAACTTTAAAAATAAAGAATTGTTTTTTTTTAAAAGGATCAGTTTTCAGTATATTATCAGTCATTTTAATGGTCAGAACAAGAATATACTGTAAGAACTGTATTATTTTTGCGTCTGTTTCCTTTTATCTTGCAATTTTTATTTGAAAAGTTATTTTTTGTGAAAGATATTAAGTAAACAATACCATTATTAAAATATTATTTTTAATATTTAGCTTAAAGACAGTAATACAAATTTACATATACAACATCCTTCAAAAGATGAAAAACTTAGTTTATAATATTGCAACAGTATATCTTTATAGTGGATTTATTTTGATTTTATGGAATATCAGTTATTTATAGTTTGATAAGTAATAGTCACCTTTTTAATTTATGGTTGATGAAGAATTACTGTATACCTCAATGACTACATTTTACAATTATTACTATAATAAAACAATAAACAGGGTCACTGTAACATCAGCCTGTATCATAGAGTGTATTAACTGGCATTGAATCGCCTAAACTGCTGTATAAACCAAGCTTATTTTTTATTTATTCCTTTCCTTTGAAATTCGTGTACAGTATGTTCTATACTATCTTGAAAAGAAGCCTGTGAGATAGGCTTCTTTTTAAGGCTACTTTTGCAGACTAAAGGGACTAAACCCATTGTGCTTCTATATGAGGTTTTACTGTATTAACTGGGTCCTGTGAAAGAAGACTACCTTGATACTAGAAATAATGATTGTTGGTAATGGAGTAGAATATGCATGTGTATGGCCTAGAATGTTTTGGCTTTACAATAGTACATTAATCCCCCTAAGAGAATGGCAGTACGCTAGGCATGTAAAGTTGGCCTAGATTGCCAATGCCTTTAATAGGAGCTCGCTACTGATCAGCTTGCTGCTGATGATGATTTAGGACTTTGGTATGCTAGGCCTTGTCGCTATTCCTACTCTAACTCCTATGGGTTTGCACTTCATAGACACGTATCATATTTTAATTCTTGTATTGGTAATCATATTTTTTATCACTGTCGATAAATGATTATTATAATCAGTGGATCATCTTTCAATTCAGTTTTCAGATTGGTTTTGCATTGTTTTTCTTATTTTTTACATATGTACACATTACTACTGTATGTATTTACTTCGACACCTAGTGTGTGTTAATTTGTATTTATATAGCTCCAAATGTTAAATCATGAATTTGCCATTAAATCCTAAATTGAGTTAATAGATTTTGTCATAGGAATATCTAAACCTTTCTTTATTCCTATCAAAGCTACATATTAATATTATGACATTCTTAAAATAGTGCATACTAAGTTTTTAGTTATTTAATCCTTTAATTTACAAACTCTGTATTAGTCCTGTTGAATGCTAAAATATCAAATTGTTCTTACAAAAATTGACATTTATTTGCACCCTGGTAATCATTTTCTATTAATGAGATTTGGTCACCAACGAAACTCCATGGAGACCAAAACCCAATGAATTGTGCAATGACGTATCTTATTTTCACTCAAAATGTCACTGACAATCAGCAAGTTGCATCATGTTGTGAAGCACTCACATAGAGCAAGCTTAATATAGATGGCACAGAAGATATAAAATATACATAAATTAAAAATACACATACTGTAATTACAATTTAGGAAACAAACATTTATGTTGAAATTAAAATATATAAAGTTTTTGTTGTACTGACTTCAATCAAGGCCTGTACAGTATATTCTGTATTTTTACAATTGCAAAAAATATTACACTCTGCATGGATACTGTATATTGCATAGTGATTCAGCAGTGGATGTTTAAGATAGTTACCATTATCAATGTCCTTAAATGTACTATCAAAAGTTACCATGTACATTAAAATGTGGAACTGATAAGAATCACTATGTGTATGTTGTGTTTGTGAGGAGTATAAGACTAGTAAATTTTATGATCAAATTCATACAGCCGACAAATAAAAGACTATAGCCCCTCTCCCACCTAGGTTGATTTCATCCAAGAGTCGCACGAGTTCTCCGAGTTTAAAACTTGTAAGATATGTGATGTAATTTGCTTGGGAAAGGACCTATACGAGCTTACTAGCTACGAGTGAGGTACGACCCTACGGAGTTGGCTACTAGTTATGTACGATTTATGCCGAGCGAAGCACCAAGTTTATTACAAGCTTTACAATGAATATTACAAGCGTAACAAGTTTGCACCGAATTAGATACGAGTTCGGTACAAGCATTTCGATCAAATGTTCCTGGTGATCATAACCAATTCGGTGCGCTCGTACTCGTTTCGGGGTGCTAGTACCAAACTCGTAGATTACAAAACTGCCAACGAGTATCCCAAGTAGTGTACGAGTTAGGTAAGAATACCCCAAGTACTCTACAAGCTACATACAAGTCCTTCAAATTTGCTACAAGTAGGTACAAGTTCTCTCTGAGCTTCCCCAATCGTCATACAAATTTATGCCGAGTTTACCGAGTTAGCAACTCAGCAAACTCTTAAAACTTGTATGCTGAAAAAAAAACCCTAGTGGGAGAGGAGGCTATCGTTCATGCTTCATTCATTTGTAAATAATGTACGGTGCACAGAAACAAACAAAATAGACATTCCTTTTCAAGCTTAAAAACTATACAATACCGTACACATATACTTTGTATATTTAAGCAAGGTGTTACCTTTTAATTAATAAGAACAAGAAAATATTTCTCCCTGTTTATAGTCTATGCATAGAATTGCCTGTTTGTAATCCTTTAATTAATATTTGTTTTCCATCATAAAGAAAAAATGGAAAAAAAAGGCTAAAAAATTGCCCTACAAAAAATAAAATTATGCTACTGAATGTGTAACTGAAACTGACTTTTCTTTTTTTTTTAATTCATTCAGCCTTGTGTAATAGGATGGAAGTGAATGGATAGTGCTAATTAAATCCTTATTAGTTCAGTCTATGAGAAGGTGTTTATATGGGCATATGCCCTGCTCAGCAAACCTTGCTTGTTTTGTACTGTTTTATTGACTAGATTAAATATACTGTACATTAATATTCAATGAAATAAATTTTATTTGATTTGATGGAGGGTTTTGAGTTGGCTGTATTTGTTTTATATATATTGAAAGTAGAACTGTATATATACTGTCTCTTATACACATCTAGATGTGTATAAGAGACAGGTCAGACGCTACAACGGTCNNTCCATACTGCGGTTTGGGTGCTGGCTTGGAGTTCCTCTTTTCTTTTTTTTTTTCCAATTGCAACTGCTCACTTGTTTTGCGCATAGAGACTCCTGTATTTTGTGCAATATAAATGTATAACCTTTAACCTTTAATTAAAAACTAGACTTGCTCTTTCTGTTTGTAAAACAGAACATAGAGCTTTTCCTCATTGGTGTGCTTTGGTATGACCTTATTTTTAAAGTTGCTTTCAGGCTCTCTTTTGGGAAAATATTTATTCCTTTCATACTTTATTTTCGAGTAGTGTCCTCAAAACTTGACAATAAATAATGACTTTCATTTCCATAAAATCATACACAATTTCTACCGTGTTTTCACTGCAACCATTAGTTTAGTTTTGGAAGGCTGCCCAATTTGACTGACCAATCAGCATTGTTGAAAACAGTCAAATATAGCTTCTAGTGATTTTATGGAAACCAGGATTTTTAAATTTTGTACATGTATTGTCACTTTACAGGATTGTGGACTACAGTTATCATCAGAAGTAGATGGACAAGGTTGCTATCCATTGGACGATCATGTGCTGTGCCGCGAGTGCAATGCAAAGCGAGTGCAGAGTCTCACCTCCGGAAACGTCCACTAAGAAACTTGGATAAAATAATATTCTACAGTTCTCAACACCTTAATTAAGTGTGCTTCCAGCTGAAATTTTATGTACATTGTGATAGCATATTAGGAATGAGTTGCGAGAACAACACTTACCATTTTAACTGTAGTAAGGCTGCTGATTAAGAAATTTATTTATAACTGTAAGGCTGGAAGAATTTAGTTGAGCGTTAATTTGGCTGATTTCAAATAGAGCGTTGATGATATTCTTTAAATGGTGCTTGTAGTAAATCATGTTTAGGTTCTGATAGAATTTAGCACACTACTTAATTGTTAGTTTATTGAATTGATCTCATACACAAAAATAAATATATCTTTGTAGATAATGCAAATTTAAATAGTGGCTTTTTAGATTTTTAGTTTTTAAGTACTAAAATAACATACAGTATTTGATTACATATACATATAGCATCACCATAGTATGGGTGGTGAAATTACAAACTAACTATTATGTACATATGATTTTTAATATATCATCTTTGAAAAAAGAGCAATGGTATAGATAAATAGGCTAAAAGATGCTATTTGATATGTTGTTAATATGTTGTTAGTGCCCGATTAACATTAAAATAAACCACAGTATTATTGTATCATCCAGGCTGATCGGAACTTGATTGCAGGTTAGTGAAATATTTTGGGATATTGTTAAGTACTTTGAAACATGGTAGTTTTCTACAACTAAATCTCTGCTAGGATGATGATGTATTTATAGTGCTACATGGACAATTTATGTAATATCCAGGTCCTTTGTGATGCTATCCAGGTCCTTTGTGATGCTCTTTAAATTTTTGATCAACCAATCCATACACTCGCTTCGTCCTACGGTCTTTGGGCTACGTAATTCTATGTAGAATGAACTGCCACAACGTGCTTGCAACGGATCTTTCCAATGACTATGCGTTCAGACTGTCAATGACAATCAGCAGATGCTGTTACGTCGTCTGTCGCTTAGTGGGGGCGGTGTTGGATAAGTCGTACGACAGACATACGACCATGAGCGCCAGGCTTTGCATACAACCATACGAGTTCATTAGCAGAATAACATTTTTGCATAGATAGGTTATTAGACTATGATGCACCAAAGACAAATATCTTCTTTCTTAAAACAATGTGCTTTTTTTAAAATATTTCCTAATTATTTTTTTTTTTGTGTTTAATACATAAATGAAATTTAATGTATTGTTAATCATGTACTTTTTAAGTTTTTGGATGTTATTCAAACTTCGGTTGTTTTCAGCAGAGGAAAATGATTTTGAAAAGCATTATATTTGTAACATGCACTTATTAAGTCTAATATCTGTGTATTCATTGTCATCCTAGCATTGTTTTATTAAATTAAAAAAACATTAGTTTTATCTATCATTCTAAAAACCCTCCAATCCAAAATCTTGAAGCAATTTGACTTAAAATTAAATAATGATGTTAATTTTAATAAAAATGTATTATTTGTATAAAAAACATTCATATATTATGATCTACGTATAGTTGAATTTAATTCTTTGCTATCAACCGCACAAAGGTGTGTAATTGGATTAAACACATAACAAATAAAAAGTGTTTACAATATGATGTATCATTAGATTAGGAGCATGGTCTGTTTTAATACTGTGAATGTTGTTTTATTTTTTCATAGTTTTGATATATAAATGCAACAAATTGTATAAAGCAGCTGATAGACACTCAAACATAATTGCCTCTAGCGCTAGATAATGAATACAGTAGAACAGTTGCATATGGGAGAGAAAAAAACAATGTATATGACAACACCACAGGAAGACCCACTTACCGACAGCTCTGTCATCACTATCTTGTTTTATGTGAATTGCCCAAATTTAAGTGTAATATGATATGCATGTAATAAAGGCCAACTCAGACAGCGTCGTGCGACGTCGCGCCCATGCGATTTGTTGTCGGGGACAGTCATGTAGTAGAATATTAAACGTTTAATATTTTCGCAATAATCCAAAGACTGTCCCCGGCGATAATTCGCGTTGGGTTGAACAGAGCGTCAATAAATGGAACTGAAAATAATGGAAATGGAAAATAGTTTGAACTGCGTGTTATACAATTATTTCCTGGATATAGTGCCACAAATTTGAAATAAATGCCCAAATAATCTTTGTTACTACCACGGTGTAATATTATTTGCCATTCTGTTTACTTTAGTTTTGAAATGTATTTAATTACAGATTTTACAGATTCAATGAATTAAAATGCACTGTCTGTCATGAGCTAAAATAAATGAAAAATTCAATTCTATATTTGATTTGCTTAATTTGTATATGAAAAAGTAATTAATGAAAAGAATTTCTCCATTATCCAGTTCAATAATACAATAAACTATTCAAGATTTTAATAACATTTTTGATGTATTCTCTGATTTGTTGACAGAGAGTGTGTCTTTAAGCTAATGTTGAAACACTTAGTCTATACAGTGGCATATCCTTGAGTCTTAAGAGGCTCATAGCAAGTGGAACTTTTCCTTGCAGACAACAGGCTGGCTTCAGAAGTGGCATAAGCAACTGCTAAAAATTTTTAATTGTACGTATTATCTGTGAGAAACTCTCGAAGAGAGAAGCTCTCGACGCCACTGCCCCTGACATATATATCTAGTATTTATTAAGTGAGTTGACCATAGTAGGTTGGGCTCTCATAATTCTGACCTCATCTCCCCCCCCCCCCAAATATTGGAACCCAGATTCGCTGCTGAGAGGGGTGCATACCCACCTGAGATGAGCAAATTTTAGGAATAGGCGATTTAAATGCTTTAAAATGGCAGTCTCATATTTTCAATATGCATTTTCAAGGCAGACGACAAAATTGGCTTTTACCCACACAGAATTCTCAAATGTGGGTAATTTGCCTACCTGGAATCCTGCTCACGTTAAATCACAGACCTGCCTAATTTCTGTATGCATTTTCAAGGCAGACGACTTTTACCCTGAAAGGGTTCTCAAGGTTCTCCATCTCGTTCACTTCGATCTTCCTATAAATTTCTTCAAGCTCCTTAAGCTCCATCGTTCGTTTTCTGTTTAGGCACCTTATTTTTGGAATCTTTCCGTTCGACAATCTTCAGATTTAAACTCATTTAAAACTAATTCGATAATCTTTTGGTTTACAAAATCGCTTTAATTTGGGTTAATAGTTCATTGCGCCTGTGATAATTATTTTTAATTGACGTATTATTATTATTATTATTATTATTATTATTATTATTATTATTATTATTATCATCATCAAATTGGGGTCTTTTACATTTTCCCACCTCCCGGATTCCTGGTCACTGTAATACACAGACCTGCCTAAATCGTAGCATTTAGCATTGATGTCCATGGGTCTGCAAATTTTTTTTCGGGGAGTCTTAAGAGGCTCATAGAAAGTGGAACCTTGGCTTGCAGACAACAGGCTGGCTTCAAAAGTGGCATAAGCAACTACTGTACTAACAATTTTTAATTGTACGTATTATCTGTGAGAAAATGACTGAACATCAAAAGGAAGTCTACCACAACAAAAATGCTTTTTATAGAGTATTGATTTAATGTTTTCATTAACGATTACATAACTAATTAATAAATAAT